TCCTCAGCACCACATAAGCAAAAAGAAAAAAGCCAGAAGTGGCGCTGTGGCTCAAGTGGTAGAGTGCTAGCCTTGAGCTGAAGAGCTGAGGGACACTGCCCAGGCCCAGAGATCAGGCCCCACGACTGGACCCAAACAACAACAACAACAACAACATTCAGGAGACTGAAGCAGGAAGCTAATGACTTTGAGTACAGCCTGGGCTACATAGTGAAACCCCGTTTAAAAAAAAAAAGCAAACAATAACAAACCAGAATAAATCATTTTTCTAAGAGGAAAGACAGGAGGGAGGGAGGGAAGGAAAGGAAAAAAGGGAGGGAAACACTTGTAACTGCTGTTGAAATTGTTCATTGGCTCATATTTTTTATTTTCTTATGTTTTATGTTCATATTATTAAATCTTTCTTTTCGGAGTCTTTCTTTAAATTAAGCATGCTTCTGTTATGAACACATTCAGGAGTCACCTAAGGTTTTACGTGAAAAGGCCACTTGGAAGCCTCAGCTTCTACCAAAAGAACAACAACAAAACAACCCTCAAAGACCATCCCGAGAGTGGCTCAATAACATCCTAGAGAAATACTACTCCGTTATTAGTATATATGTATCTATCCCCACCCCATCCCCCTCCTGAATTTATCCGATTATTGCACTGGGGCATGAGTTCCTTGAGAGCAGAGCGCAGCCTGCTCTGGCACCGTGCCTGGCACAGGGTAGCACCTACACTTGTGGTTGAGTCTAATCCGGGGTGGGTGGTGGGCGTTGAGGAAACCTGTGGTCTCCCTGAAGTTGGGTGCCCTGGGTGTCTGGGCCTTGGGGATGCAAATCTGAGGTGAGCAGGGTTTGCATAGAGAGCAGGAAATAGCACAGGACCCCAAGGGCGGGCCAGCCCCAAGCCTGGGAACTGATCTTGTCAAAGGCTTTCCCAGTGTGACTCAGAGTAGGAGCTGGAGCCAGGGTTCGCGGGCCTCTGTTCCCAGGTGGGTGCTTTCCAGGCTTTCTGTCCAGTAAATCGTGAAGGGTGAGGGTCTGGGAGGGATAAAGAACTTCGTTATACCCCCTGCGCCCAGATTTAGGGGTGATCCACACTTGGGTACTAGGAGGCTTGGGACTAGTCACCAGGGGAAGGGCTAGGAGAGATCAATGTTGGGGAGCGCACACCCCCCTTCTGCCCTGCGCGTGGAGGGGCGTCACAAAGCTCCCACTCTCAGAGTTGGGGTGGATGGAGCTAGTCTCTTTCCAGAGACCCTGATGCAAGGGATGCACAAGCCGGGGAGGGCGAAGCCCGAGGAGCCCAGCGAGGGCAGCCAGCCCTCCAGCGGTCAGCTCGGGCGCCAGGCGGGCGCAAAGCTGCGGGGCAGAAAGCCACTTCCTGCCCCGCCCAGCAGAGGAAGCGCGCGGGCCCCTCAGGTGGGCGGGGCCCGGAAGCGGGGCGGAGCCGGCGCCTGGGCGGGGCGCGACCAATAGGGTCGCGCGGCGCCCAGACACCGGCCACGCCCAGCCTCCCCGAGTAGCCCGCGGATCCCCAGAGCGGACGCACCGCCCAAGCTAGCGGCCTCCAGATCCGCCCACGTCAGCCCGGCCGAGCCCTTCCGCCTCCGTCGAGCGCGGCCTCCCGCCGGCCCCGCCCCGCGCGCATTCCAGGGACGGGAGGCGGCGTCGTTTCGCTGTACGGCGAAGGGACCCTGGTGCTCGGCCTCCAGGTATTTAATCAAGTCTGCAAAGAGGGCCTGTCTCCATTTTGCAGATGCGGGCGCCCAGGCGGAGAGGCGCACGCCAGCAGCGCCCCGGATGCACGGGCGCGCCCCGAAGCCGCCCGCTCCCCTCTGCCCCACTCCCACGACGAGCCCCTGCCTCCAACCCCGCCTCGGGGAGAGCAGCTCAAGTCCCCGTGCAGCCACCTCCCCCTTCCCCCAAAAACCACAGGAGCAGATAGGGGGCGTCCGGCTTTCTCTTTTAGTTCGGAACACACGTGAGGCTCTCGAGTCCGAGAAGGCACTTGAAAACGGGAAGGTCACCAGGTTCCCACCAACCAACGCTCCGCCATAACCCTCCCTTCTCCCCGCCCATCCCTTTGGCACTTAACCGTCAGACCCCGGGGAGAGTCCCAAAGGCCTTCACCTCCAGACTCAGCATGTGTGCAGAGGGGTTCTAGAAACAGAGAAGTCAAGAGTTTGGAAGGCAGGGTGTCCAGGGAGCTTCCCCCAGCCAGCAGGGGGCAAGGGGGCTGCAGGGGGTGGGTTGGCACCAAGGAGGGAGACAGCTTGGCCAGGCTTCCTGAAGACCTCCCCCTCCCCCCAGCCCCACAGAAGGTTCCCCTCTCCTGCAGATTCCTTAAAGGCACAGGTGAAGTCTGGGGTTGGTGAGGGAGGCACCAATTAAACCAATTAAGAGGATAAAAATTCCCCCAACTCCCTTAGCTGGTGGGCCTAGCTCCTTGCCAGGCACAGAAGGTGCTCAATTAATATATACTTTTTTTTAATGATAATAATAAAGGGACTGTGAGGGACAGAGGACAAGGCCTGCAGCCCTTAGGCCTAGCTTGTTCTTTTCAGAAAATAGCAGTTTAAAAAATGTAAAAATCCTTTCCCTCCCTCCCCCCCCAATTTCTGGGCCCAGGAAGGTTGAGGGAGGGCCATCTCATTGTCAACCCTTCCCGCTCCTTCCCTTAAAAATCTATATACACATATACATACATATATATATATGGCACCACAAGAGGGTCCTGCCTATTACCCCCCCACACCCAGGCCACAAAAGCTGGGGGAATCAAGCCCCAAGGCCTTGGGGTAGTTAAGGCAGAAGGAGTCAGGGCTCAAGTGATGTGGGCCGGAACCCTGCCATCAGCTTGGAGAAGCTGGACTTTGGGATTTTGAAGAGAGAACCCCAGCTACTTTTTTAAGTGGTAACAGAACTCCTCTTTTCTCCCCCACTCCCTGCAGAAACTGGTGTGTGTGTGTGGGGGGGGTGCTATCAGTCCCAAGAGAGGTGAGCCAGCTGATCCCAGGCCAGCCTCCTCTGCAGTGAGCTGTAGGCAGCTCCAGGGCTGGTGGGGAGAAGGGGGCAGAGGAGCTCTATGTAAGGCACTTGGCGTCCATGGTTCCCAGGCTGGGGGTTCGAGGCAAGAGGCAACAGAAACCCTGCCCATCCCCCAAAACAGCTGGAGCTAAGGGGCCCGATTTTGGCAGTAGAGAAACATGGCAGCATGAGAAAGAAAGAGGAGCAGCAGGCAGGGCCCTCCAAGTCCCCTGAAAAGGAGAAAGGAGGTTTGAAGGCACTGACTTGGGGGGATGCCCAGGGGCTCATTGTCCTTGGTGCAGTGTAGTGGGGTCTGTGGGGGAGACACCGGCTCCCCTGGGGCTCTGAATGTGGTACAGCCCCATAGGTTTTCTTAACAGAGCACAGGTGGCACCCACAGTCTTCATGGGAGGCGGTGTGGGCCTCAGTCAGGGGCGGGTCCTGGCCCCCTGGCACCTCACTAGCTCCCAGGCCTCGGCTGCCTGAGCACTGAGTACACATCGTCCACTCGGCTGAGCTGCTCGAAGAAGGGTAGCAGGTCATGGAGCTCTGTATCACTCATGTTGTCAAACCACGAGGCCACTGGAACCTGGGAAATAGGAAGGGGGGGGGCGGGTAGCCCAGTTTGTATAGTGTCCAGGTCAGCCTTCAGCACACTTGGTAATATGTGCAGAGCACTGTGCTGTTTGTTATTCTAGATGCACAAGTAGGCATGGAATGACAAGTGAAGCACAAGAGAGAAGGCAGGTAAAAGCAATGGAAAGGTCCTGTCCCCTAGCCCTGCTCCATCTGGGGTGGAGAAACCAAGGCAGCCTACACAGGCTGTTGCTCTTGAGCCTCAGCCTTCCCTGGGTCTGTGGTGCACTCACAGCATTGTCAGGATGGAAGACATAGGAGGCCGGGGAGTTGTCCAGGATGAGCACCCGCCGAAGGTCTCGCCCCAGCCTGCTCAGATCCTTGACATAATTCCCTCGATGGAAGACGCAGGATTCCCGAAACAGCCGCGCCCGGAAGGCCCCCCACTTGTCCAGCAGGTCAGCTACTGGATCTGCATACTAGGGGTGGAAAGTGGGTCATCTCAGGGCCAGCAGTAGCCCAGGGCTTTGGGCGGCAGCGTGCTGAATGGGAATGGGAAGGCCGCTGGTGGAAGGGCTTACCTTGGCAAGGCTGGCCGTGAAGAGCACACACTCAAAGAGCTCGCCCATTCGCTGCAGAAACTCATCCACATGCGGCCGCTTCAGCACGTAGACCTGGGGGGTAAGCCAGTGAGGGGGCTGCCGACCCTCAGACTGGGAGAGGGTGACGAGGGCTGGAAGAGGCCAAGGCCCAGGGAGGCTAGTCCAGACCCTATACATACCCCTGGCCAGCCATCCTGCCACCCACCCTCCCAAAAGAATAAAAAGAAGTTTCCAGTCCCATCAGTGCAGACCCGCCTCTCATAGGTGGGTCACGAATTCCCATTTCCTTCCCCCATGCTGGCCTCAGCCAAACGAAGAAACCTGTATCTGTCCCCTCACCCCAAGGCTGCAGAGCACCGGCCCCCGAGCCAAGTAATGGAGAACAGGCTGGACAGCACACAACCTATCCTGAATTACTTGAACTGGGTCCCGGGCAGGGGTGGGCAAGAGGGCACAGCAAGACAGGACTGAGAGGAGGAGCCCACTCTCTACAGGCCTGGAGTCTGGCCACATCACTAGGGCTCTGTGTAGCCTTGGGCAAGTTTCACACCCTCTCTGGACCGGGGATATTCCACATCCACCTAAGTACCACCTAGGGATCTCTCCAGATTGGTAGAAGCAGCCTGGGGTCTTGAGGGTGAATACCAAGCCCGTCACCTCTTCCCCCTGCCCCTCACCTGGTGGACTACCCCATCAATCTCCACAGGGATGATGAAGTCAGCGTTGTTCACTGGCTGTGGGGGGGAAAAGATCTGCTGGAGCTGGGATGGGGAGCTCCAGGGGGTCAGGGCCCAGTGGAGACCTCCCTCCCTACCCGGGACAGGGCTCCCTCACAGACTTGGGGCTGCGGGTTGCTGGGGAGGGCCTACCTTGAAGGAGCTGTGTACCAGGGTCTCATCCAGGTCGATGACCACGCAGATCTTATCTGAGTCCTGGGCCTTGGCCTCAGGAAGCAGGTACTGGACCGGGGTCTGCTGTGGGGAGTGGGGGGCTGGTTGGGATGTCTCCTACTCACCTTTTCCCCTGGCTCTGAGAACCCTCTAGAGACATTCCATGCCCTGCCCAGCCTTGGCCCTATGAACCCTGGGCCTGGGGTGAGCCACCTGGCTCTGTGAGCCCCTCTCTCACTTCCAAGGAGGGAAGCACTCAGAGTTCTGTAACTGGGCAGCGTTTGGGGGTGGGCAGAGGTGGTAGAGAGGGGATAGTGCTTGGCTGGGTGAGGCTGATGCTCCGCCCCCCAACCCTCTGAAGGTAGGGCAGAAAAGCTTAGCGTGGAGACCCCTCCCCCAAGCCCCAGGCTGTCACCACGCACCTTGGGGACAGTGCCATTCTCCTCCACAAGCAGGGGAGCTCCACTATGGGCAGGGAGGGCCTCCCCATCATCCCGGCACACACAGCAGAAGAGCGAGTGGAGGAAGCCCCTATTCCGGAGCTTCTGGGAAGCGGCTGACTTCTGGTCACCTGAAGAAAGGAGGCCCAAATTAAGGAGGGGATCTGCAGAGGTGTGCAACACACGTGCGTCCAGGTGCGAACCCTGGAGTAGGGACCATAGATCTTGCAATGCTCTCAGGTCAAGGGGACGGACGGACGGACGGGCGCGCGCGCACACACACACACACACACACACACACACGTATGGTGGGCCTTGCACTTCCCTGGAATGCCCCTGCCCCTTAACCTAGGCTTTGCTCCAGGTACCCTGCAGCTCAGGGTCAGGAAAGCCCAGTGTGCTTTATGGAGTGATCAGCCTGGACCAGGGAGATAGATAAGTTCCCCCCCACTCAGGCCTTCATCACCTGACTCTACCTCACCAGACCAGTCCCAGCTCAGGAGGGCCAGGGCCCGGGGCCCCGCCGTCCACTCCCACTCCACCTCCATCCGGTCTACCCCGGGGGTCCAAAGTCCTCTGGGAGGCAGGGCCAGACAGGAGGTGTAGTCCTAAGGTGAGGGCCCAGTGTCCCGGAGCCATCTGTCAGCCCCGCCCCCGTCCTCGCCCGCCCAGACCTCCCACCTGCGGCCTGGCAAGGGAGTGCTGATTGACAGACCCACTCTCCACCACCCCGCGCCACCTCGGCCCCCGAGCCCCCAGTGGAGCTAGGCCGGAGCGGAAGGAGGGCAGGTCTGGGAGGTCTTCCAGGCCGTGAAGACCGCACCGAGATGATGGGGGGGAGGGGACGGGACAACAAGGCTGGCCCCAGGGGCGTCGGCTCGGCGGGACCGTGCGAGTGTGCACAGGCCCCGCGCCCCGGGGCCTGCAGCCGGGGCCCGCGAGCCCGCCCGACTCTGGGTTCTCGCCGTGGGAGCCCGGGCGACTGTTGAAAAGTGCTGCCCCCCCCCCACACACACACTGGGGCTCTGCGTCTCCGCCCGTGACGCGCGAGTTGGCAGGAGCGTGGCCGTGTGTTGGCGGGAGATCCCGCCAAGCCGCCCCAGCCCGCTGTCACCGCGAGCCCCTTCCCCAGGCCGGCCGGACCCCAGCCCGGAGGGGGCGGGGCCTCGGAGGGGGGCCCGAAGGCGGCCCTCACCCCCCAACTCCAGCCCCACTGGCGCCAATGGGGGGAGGGGGCGACGCCCGGAGCCCCTTTCTTTCACCCCTGCCTCAGTTTCTCTACCCAACACACCTAAGCGCTCTAGACGCGCCTGGCCCCGCCCAGCCTCAGAGACTCCAGGAGTTCAAACTCTCCCGGCTCCCTCCGGCTGGGGACTCGGCCCAGCCCCGGAGGGCGCCCCGGGCGGCGGCGGCGGCGGCTGCGCGGGGAAAGATCCCGGCCCCCGGCCTCCTCCCCTCCCGCTGTGCGGGCCGCAGCCCCCTCCCCGCCGCCCCGGTACCTTTGCCCCGCAGCGGGCCCCGCGCCTCCTCCTTGCTGATCTGAGTAATGACGGCCGAGCTGTCCATGGGGCCGGGCGCGCTCCGCTCCGGCCGGACTCTGGCCCGGGCGCCCGGCCTCCCCCCCGGCTCGGGCCGGAATCGGGGCGCGGGGGGGAGGGGAGGGTTGGGAGGGAGGGATCCCCGCGAGCTTCGGAGGGGAGGGGAGCCAGGTTCTAAGGGGGAGGGGGAGGGAGGGGGCACGGAGGAAACTTTGTTACAACATGGAGTTTCCTCCCCGCGAGGCGGATGCAAACATGGAACCCGGGCGCCGTTTCAAGGCTCCCCCTTAAAAGGGCAACGGCTTCGGCGTGACCTGGCCTCCGCCGCGGCTCTCATCACTTCTGGGGCTCGGGCGACTCGGCGGGCGGGGAGGCGGGCCGGGTTCCTGCCGCGGTCCAGGGGGCGTCGCCTCCCTTCCTGCCGCCCGACGCAGCTTCTGCGGCTGCGTGATAGGGCCAGGACTCGGCCCACAGTCGGGGCGG